ACACAAGCCAGCAAATCGAGGCTGGGGTATCCCACACACACATGGCCTTTCCTTCATGGAGGAGTGATGGCCAGAGCTCAGGAATTCCAGGATGGAGGAGCTGCTGGGAAGATGCTGTTGTCTCCAGGCTTGCTGCCCTGGAGCTTCCACTCCCTGCAGACCTGCCCCAGACCAAGACCCAGCTGTGGCTGCTGCTGCACCACAGCTTGTCAAGCACTGAGGGCATGAGCTTGGCATCGGCACGCTGTGAGCACCTTGGGTGTGCACAGGGAGAGCTGGATGCTGCCTGCAAAAAGACTGCCAAGGTGTCACCTTGAAGGCAAGAAAAATCTTGCAGACATTTAACCGTCTTATTACCGTTAACCTCAACAATCATGAATGTACATCTGTGTAAGCTTTGCCGCAGGTATGCAGCTTTGACCACAGCCTGCAACCTCAGCTGCACTTCTTCATTCAAGAAAGCAGCCAGTGGAGCCTTTGGCATAGGCCGAACAGTCCTGGGAAAAGGTTCCCATGGTAGCAGAGAGCCTGGAGAGGGGTCCCCATCCATGCACTGCACGTAGACTGCTGCTACCAGGCTGTTCCCATGGGACAACTTGGACAAAAGTCCTTTCTCCATGCAGTGTCTCTGGCATCAACAGTGCTGCTACCACAAACTGTTGGAAAGAGCTAATGAAGGTGCAGTATGACTGTGTATGGATATTCACTACCAGCTGATCTGTATAGAGCTCCTGCCATTCCTAGCCTCTGTTCTATGAGCTCCTCTCTCTGTATCTGGGAATTGCCATTTCTTCTGCATTTTGCTTTTAGCAGCGTTATATAGCTGGGCTGCACCTCCCTGAGCCTGACAAACTGAGTGACTCAGAAACCTGCAATCTGCTTCAAAACAAAGCATTTAAAGATAAAAGATATAAGCAGCAATGGAACTCCTTGGCTCAGGAGCAGAAATGCTAGAGGGTTGCTCATGTACTCACAAGCCTTCTAACCTTCCTTGAGCTTTTTTTAACCCCTGCAAACCCTGGGCAAGGCTGGTTGCAAGTAAGAGCTGATGTGTCATTTCAGATAGGCTTCCACTCCAATGTGCAAACCCTGGAGCTGAGAAGTGGAAGAGCTCTGATGCCAGCACCGATGACGCGGAATGGGGAGAGCTGAGCTCTCGCTCTGCGGCCTCCAAAGTGCACTTATTTCTGCTGGTTAAACAGATGCCAGCTTCTGAGGGGATTATGTGTCATCGAGCCTCTTGGCTGCGACAACTAATTATCTCCCACAACAGTTTGGCCTTGAGATTTGCGGTTCAAAGGGCATATCAGGAGTGCTGCCATCCAGCGCCATGTGTAGCAATTTGTCCACACTTGGGTTTCCCTGTTCCCAAAGAGGTGGCACCCCCAAGACACCCTGTCTTCCCACAGCTCAGGCCCATACCAGCAGACCAGCAGGTCCTTCCAGGCAGCATGGGCAAGGAGCATCAACATTCCACTGAAACCTGAGAGATACCTCCAGCAGGAACCAAGGAGAGCAAGCAGCAGCTAAAATGAGCTCACCATCCAAACAGCAACCTGCCTGAGCTTTCCGTTCTTGCTGGGTGTTAGTGTGGCAGCTGTGCCACAGCATGGTCCTCCAGCTGAGCTTCACGGAGTGCACACACCAAAAGGGTCCAGTTCAGCTGCAACCAAGTCCAGGGAAAAAAAAAACATCTGCTGCAACCCAAAATGAGAGAAATTCCAAAGGAGAGCAGCCAGAGGAGTAAACAGTTTTGGAATGCAGCCTCAAAACCAGCACTGGAAGTGTTGTATAACTTCATATAAAATGATGGCTGACCCTCATTGAGACTCCCAGAAACAGATGAAAAGCAGACCCAGGCAACTGAAAGAATTTAAGAAGCAAACAGAGAATGATGGAAAAGACTAGAGATGAGGAAAGATATGGAGAGGGGAGTTAACAGTAAAGGCAAAGGGTGTGTTGGCAAGTAGGTATTGGATCTGGGGTGCCCAGCACAGGCTGGAGGCGTTAGCATGGAGTGACCACAGGGCATCAGACTCACAGAGCTCAGCTCACCTGCAGCCAGGACAGGTTGAGTATTGGAGGTGCTGAGTATCCTTCTGCCACAGTACCAGTTTAGCACTGGGAAGCAGAGGCTTCTCAGCCAAGGTTCCTATGGAGATATCCCAGCTGGGATTGGAAGCTGGATGCTGTCAGGTATGAGAGGGTAGATGTGATGGATACTGCTTGGCTCTCCTCCCTCTATCACCCTGCCCTCTCAAGAGGCTATAAGGTTGCATCAGCCCCCCAAAACCTCTGATCCCCCAGAGTAACTCAGGTGGAGCCAGGCATATGAGGCTGCATCACCTCCATGGACAAGGAGGTGAAGGGAGACAAGGTTTTCCAAGCCTCAGAGCCAGGTTGTGTGCAGGATCAAATCAGATCTGGAGGTAACTTACTCTCAGGCAGCCAAGGGAAAAGGCAGTGTGGAAGTGCCATGGACTGTGCACACTGGTAGCATAAGAGAGAACCCTCTGAAGTCGCAGCAAACGGCTTGGGGTTTAAAGGATGCTGCTGTTCACAAGCAAATCATCAAGGGTCGAAGGCAGTAATTACAGTAAGTAACTCCTCCATCACTGTGCTGCTGTGATGCCAAGTCCTTTGGCCGGTTTGCAGTCAATTTCTTCATTTGCTACACTCCCAGCATTAAAGGAGGATCTCAAAGGCAAGAATAATTAATGGAGAATGTTAAATTGAAAAGAGTTGGATCAAGGCTGCAAGAGAAAAAGAAAATCCTTCCCTCACTTACTCCTCCACTTTTTACCATCACCTTGAAGTATTTCATTCCTGAAGACAGAGGAGTCTGAATACCAGCACTGCAGAGCTGCCTTAGTTTGCAGGGCCATGTAAAGAGATCCAGCTGTCTCTTTAGTAACAGGAGTTGACACCAGTTGTGAATAGATGAGTGATCGTGGCTTCAGCCGTCACAACAGAGGATCTGATTTCAAATGAAGCCCCATTCATCCACCCAGGGCCCATCATAAGGTTATTAAGGGAGCATCTGTCAGAAAACCACAATGCCTTTAAAAGTTTGAGAAAGGGCACAACAAAAATAAGCCTGCTTAGCTTATATACTTTTCTCTGGGTAATGTGATTCTTGGAATCCTTTAGCAAACATAATGATAAATATGATGGGTAGGGAACATTCATGATGTGAGCAGGGTGAGGTTTGTTTTTGACCTTAGCACAGAGTTTGGCTGTCTGTTTGTTGTTCCAGGGTAGCAGGGTAGGCGTGAAATCGGTGGCCGGGAGTTTTTTTGACTAGCAGAGTGCACAGCCCCAGCACATCAGGTGTCCTGCTCCAGAGCCCTGGCTCAGAGCACTCCCTCCAGGGCACAAATGGAAAGCCTTTCCTTGCTTTCAGGGAAAGCATCTCTAGCAGCAGGACAAGGCCAAGTTCAGACTAAGCAGTATGTGCTGTGGCAAGCCATGGGGGGCTGGGGGATGTGATTTGATTACTCTTCAAGACTAAAGGACTAAATTGACACTCTGTGTTTGTTAGAAAATAAATCACATGTAGCTAAACTGAAAGTCAAGCTTAGACATCATGGCTGTTTTAAGTGAATGGTTGCAACTCATACCATCTTACACTCACCAACAAACTCATACCTGAGACAACAGTCTTTTCCTTCCCTAAAACTGCACAGCTCCTCTTACTACTCTTTATTCTGTGCCCACTGCATTGGGCAAAGCTGCCATTCTCTGGCTAACACCTGAACAAGTAACCCTCCTGTCCTGCCACCAACAGGTCACCTCCTGCCCCACTGCCTCTTTGGGTGACATCCAGGCACAGGGATCAAAGGACAAGGCCACAGGACAAGGCTCATGCACAGATCTGCTCTGTTATATCCACAGTATACTGAAATCATCTCGTGTGCATTAGATTGGTGCTCCTGGAGCTAGAGATGGGCCTTTAGGCCCTGTAATGCACATCAAACCCCTTTAAGAAAAGCTGGAGTGTCCACCTGCAGCTTAATGGTGATGAGGACTTTGCTGTGTGATGCAGCTCTGTTTATAACTCATATTAAATTGTAATCCACATTCCTCTTTTCCTTATAAATTGTTTTGAAAATTTGTCTTAAATGTGTATGAAAAAATGTATTGTGGTCATATGTGCAGAGTAGTGGGCTTCCTCTACAAAAATGTCTCTGGTCAAAAGACAGGAGTTCCTACCCCAAGTTTCAGCCTAGTGAGGCATTGCCTGTGTTCATAGATTTCAAGCCTAGAGCAGAATAAAAGTACATATTTTAAAACTGTCCAAGTGTTTAAAAAAGCTAAATCTCCCCTCTACCCCCAAAAAGCCCCAGTTTCTACTCCCAGATTATCACCATCTAAGTGGGGAGTTCTGTCCAAGGTCTCCCCAGCCCTATGCTGGATTTCAGACTGAAGCAGTGACTCACTCAGACAGGTTCTTCTCCCTTCCTTTGAGCTCACTGAAAGCAAGACATCCTGTAAGAGCATGGCATCTCCCTTCCCAACAGAGAGAGAGGCATCTCCCTCCCTTCCCAACAGAGAGAGAAGCATCTCCCAAAGGGAACTCAACCTGCCTGTTCTGGGATCGAGACCTGTGTGCTCCAACCTCATATCTGAATAAACCCTTGCAGAAAAGAGAGTGTGTGTACAGAATCCAGCACAATGGACAATTGGGACCTTTGTCCCTCAGGGAATAAAAATAGCAAGTTTTATTAAAACTCTGTATTTTCAAAGATTGTAATCAAGGATCACAACACACCACACTTAATTTCCTGCTTTCAGTTCACTATCAGATTTTATGCTTAGGTTAGTGGGGTTTGTTTTTCCCCAGAATAGGATTTTTTTTAATTTAACTACAATACATTCAGCCATGAAAAATGAGATTCAAAAAGATTAATAGGGAGCTGAAAGATTCATCTGAGATTGCCAAAGATTAATGTGTGTCTTATTCTTATCTGTTTTCTTTTTCTTTTCCCTTTATCTCTTAGCTACCTAGACAGCTTAGATCGAATCGGAGCTGCAGACTACCAGCCCACGGAGCAGGATATCCTCCGAACCAGGGTCAAAACAACTGGCATCGTAGAAACCCATTTCACATTCAAAAACCTTCACTTCAGGTTAGTCTAAAACTGCACAGTAAGTTTTCTGAACAACTATTTATCACGGGGTTTACCCGTAGTTCCTGGAGGAGAAATTGCTAAATTGCTGGTTAGTGCACGGGTAGCTCCCACTGCAGAAGACACTGTGTTTTGGAGGGTCAACAGTATGAAATGTCTGATAATCCTGTTGTGAAAGCTGCCTGAAACTCATGGCAGCTTCTTCTAACCCAAACAACACCTTTTTGTTGGAAAGTATAATATGAGATTGACCCCCAGGTCTGATCAAGCCTCAGTAAGTGTCAAATATTTGGGCAAATCTTTTCTCTAAAGTGGGACAGTCATATGTTATTCATGCTATATATTGACCCTCATGATGCCTCATAAGGACAAGGCCAAGCTAGCGGTGAAAGATCTGTTGCTTTGTGTTTGGAGCCTTCCACAGCCCATGTGGTCAGAAAATGCCATGAATGCCAAAGTTTCCTGATAACTAAGAAGGAGTGGATGTTGATGGTCCTCTCCTGTGCCGTAGGCTCTTCGATGTCGGGGGCCAGCGGTCAGAACGCAAGAAGTGGATTCACTGCTTTGAGGATGTCACAGCAATCATTTTCTGTGTTGCGCTGAGTGGCTACGACCAGGTGCTCCATGAAGACGAAACCACGGTGAGTCTAAATGGGTCTTGGAGGCCCCAACACCTCTTTATGGGATACTGCATAACCAACAACTCCTCAGAGATCGCCGAATGCTCCCTGGGGTGCTACAGTAATGTGCTTTGTTCGGTCGCTCCCCCTTGAGTCTGAAATTCTGGGGAGATTTGTCCTCCTACACACTCTTTGAAATGAAGTCTGCGTGCCCAGGTAATGCTTCCTTGCACTGGTAAAGTCACAGTGGGTTTTTTTCTCCTTTCTAGCCAACCTGTGTGGTTTCAAAATGTGTTACAGAACCCTCTACCCAGCAAGAGGAGATATGGTTAGGTGGGCTTTAAAATAGATGTTAGGGAAGTGGTCATGCCATGGTGCAGAGGTGCAGGATGGCCATGCACATCCAAGGCTCAGCCTAAGAGTATAACCTATTTCTTCAGGCTACAGAAATTCATTTTCCTGAGTGAGAATGGAACTGTTTGATTCCTCAGGTAATTTGCTCTAGGAGAGATTTTATGACTTCCCACTGTGACATTAGGCTCAAAATACCATCTGGAAATAAGGCTGGCGAGGACCTGTGTGCTCCCTGATATTAGAGTGCAATTAATACAAGTGAATTGAATACACTGAAAGGATGCAATAAGACTCATTGCTGTATTCTGGCTGTTCATTCAGCATGATGGGGTTGTGTGTTTTTGGGACTAATGACAACTGCAGTAGGCACCCAGTTGGATTTGTCTAATGAAAAGGAATTGGAGGCCATACTCAGACTCAGTTATGATTTTATCGGTGCCCAGTCTGCGGCAGCATGGAGGGCTCACTCCTGCCAGCTCTGTCTCTCTGAGGCTTTTTATTTTCCTGCTGGTAAAGATGTTAGGCATACAGAAAGCTGTGGATGAGGAAGAAATAGAGGGAAAGATTGCTGTTAGGTAACAGTTGTCCCAAAAAGACTAGCGGGACTGTGGTTTCTAGCTTCTGAGCCAGGTTTATGAGCTCTAGTAAACTGTTTGATGAAGTCACCTGGTTGTTTGGATCATACTGATGCCAGAATTCCAGGTGATATTAACATCATCAGCCACAGGACCCAATAGTATGGCATGAAGCTGTGTCAAGGAGAGGTTTTGGCTGCAAATTAGGAAAAGGTTCTTCACCCAGAGGGTGATCAGGCACGGGAACAGGTTCCCCAGGGAAGTGGTCACAGCACCAAGCCTTCCAGACTTCAGGAAGTGTTTGGACAAGTCTCTCAGGCACATTCTTGGGGATTCTTGGGGTTGTGCAGGGCCAGGAGTTGGACTCAAACCTTGTGGGTCTCTTCCAACTCATGATATTCTATGATTCTGTGATCACGACTATGTCCTCCAGACTGACTGAGACACTCTACATCCTTGCATGTCCACTTATTTATAATCCCTAGTTGTTACCTCCCTCTGACCCTGGCCTTGATATGCTCAAGGATGCTCAGTCCTGTAAGATTTACTCGGAAGGAACCAAAATCTCCTGACGTGATTTGAAAAATCCAGCCATCAGCTCAATGCCATAGAGCTCTGCAGCTGGGCAGTGAAAACAGCCAGGAGATAGAGAAAACACACAGGGAGAGGGCAGGTCCAGGGGACAGGGAGCAAAGCTGTGATCTGAGCAGAGAGCAACATGCTTTGTAGGTATAACTTGGACTGTGACACCCAAACTGTGAAGCCAAAGACAGCTTTTAGTACAAGTCACCTTTGGGTGCTCATCTACACAAGCCAGAGTCTGTGATTCAAAGCCACCAAGCACAAGATGGAAGGGACTGAATACCAGTGCCATTTTTAAAATGTCAGCCTTAACTCCACTGCTCTGAACTGAAGGTTAGAGCATCTCTCCTGGAGATCCTGAGCCCTGCCAATGACTGTCCTTCATCTAGCACCACTGTGGAGACACGCAGGGTGCCAGCTCAGCTCCCCGCTGAATGCCCTGCTGCAGAAACTGGGATTTATGCACCTCCAACTTTCCTTTTGCAGCACAAGAGCAGGCTGGTGCAGCTCTGGCACAGCGCTGACATTTGCTTGCTATTTCAGTCCCTTTTCACAACACATTTTGGGGGATGCTGAGCAACAGGAGGGCAGAGGCAGCTGCTGCTCATTTACACATTCGGCATAAGTGGGGAAGGGATTCGACATCGCCAGCGCCGCGCCGGCAGGACGCCCCTGCCTAACCCAAATAAACAGCCCTGAGCGAGGCCAAAGAAAATAGGAAGAAACAATGGTGCTGCATTTTGCCTGCCCTATTATATCCCCATCACAAATGGCAGGTGGAAAACATGGCACCCACAGACCCTGACCCCTCTCAGCTGAACCCCCAAAGCGTTCAGTCTCCTCCCTGCTAATGTGGTGCTTCTCCAAGCACCCAGCAGTAAAGCAGCATCTCCTCAGTCAGCTGATTTGCTGTCTGTCTGCATCCGTCACATCTGCTGGCTTTAATGACGTCAATCAGCTTTTATTGCTTCTCACTTGGAAAGCACAAAGAGGAGGCAGCTGAGAAAGTGAGCTGGATGCTGCTCCTCCAGCTTCATTTTCTAGAGATGCTTACTACAGTCCAGGCACTTCCAGCTGTATTGAGCCTCTGAAGGTTTGGGGGCTGTACAGATGTCTCCGTGAGTAGGAAAAGACTTGTAGAGAGCTTTCATTGCTGGCATGGAGCCATAAGAAGGAAAGAGCCCTACTGCATCTCAGTGTCCAAGCTGGGTGCACAGGGAGAATGTCTTTTCGTCCTGTTGACAATAACCACAGGATTTCACCACACTTAAGGCTGAGGAAACTGCAGTTCAGATGCAGCTGACGTAACATGGTGCAGGGATTCACCGTGGTGAGCTCCAGCTGGGACCACTGTAGGGTCAGCTTGTCTCACTGAGGAAAGCTCGTGAACAGCAGGTTTACTGTGAATGCCTTCCAAAGAGCTGGTTAAACAAGGCTGGGTGAAACACCCCCTGACCTGTCCCTGCCCTTAAAATTCAAACACAGCTCTATGCTTGTAAAGTTTTTTTTGTGGTTTATTGTGCTCTTTGTTTTAAAAGCCTGAGCCCATCCTCCTGCAGCAGCTAAAACAGGGCTGTTGTGTCCTAGGAGCAGGCAGTCTTTTATAAGGGGTGTATTTTCTCTCAAATTCCCTGCCACAAAGAGCCACACAGCAGGAGTCGAAGAAAGCAAGTACTTCCTTATGTCTAGATCAGAAAGACATAAAGAAAATAGAGAAAACTTTCTGCATCTGTGGTTTCTAGGCCCATACACCCATAAAGATCACACTTGGCACAGAAACCCCTGATGCTGCTGAATCCAGCTTCTCCCATTGCCTCCCACACCTTACGCTGCTGTTGGCAGATCTAAACTGCTTCCCTGTGTGCCCAGTTCCCAGGGGAGAGAAACAAGCCATGAGAGTTTCAAGCAGCACCTTCATCAGTCCCATTACTGCTAGTCACAGCCCAAGCTACAGCTCATGAGGCAAAATTGCACTCTACCCCGAGCATCCAATGCACAAGCCGCTGTCCTCAGGATATTACACCTGCCTGTGCCTTTACCAAGTCCATCACAAGGATCTGCCAGGCCCTCTGCCATATTTGTACACAGTGGGAACATCCTGCTTTAACTGACAGAACATCTCTGTGGATTATGTCTTTGCATAACAAGGCCATTTTGTCTCGTTTGTGACTTATCTTTATGTTTCGTAAGTTGAGGTTACAGGAGGAAAAGCCTCAGCTCTGTAATCTGGGAGGAGAGAGGGACAGCAGTCATATCAATCAGTAAAACTGGAGAAGAAGATTAACAAAGGCAGATTTCCATTGTTCCTTCTAAATGGAGTTCCTAATGGAATTTTTAAAAAAGACAGCAATGGCATGGGACCTGTCATAGGAACTGAGACTATCCTCTATTTTCTTCCTTGCAAATTCAAAGGAGTCATGGCAAGAGAGGGAGATGTTCATTGCTGCCTCTGAAACTAAGATATTTAGGTCAACCATATCTAGTCAAGACGTGCAAGTATTGTTCATGTCCCCATTGCTGAGGATGGGATGGGTTGAAGGCTCTGTGCTGGTGACCCTTAGTGTGCATTAGTGTTGGACTGTTGGTTCATATTGCATTGCTTGACCTGGTTAGTGTGCTCTCTCTGCTGTCATTGGGCAAGGAAAATGGAATTGCAGTGCTCAGAAATTGCCTCAGGAGTGACAAAGCAAGCGAAAGTGGTTTGGGCATCTTAGGAAATATAAGCAGGAGGGGGAATGTGGAGTTCCTGTGCTTAGGATAACCATCAGTGCCCTTATAGTTCACACGACAGCTAGTGCTTAATCACGAAGGAAAACAGAAAAGATTGGATCGACTGTGTGTTGTAGAAATCACCGGCTCTCCTCCCATGCTCTGGTGAAAACAAGATGGGTTTTATGAGTGTGTTTCTGCCTGGGAAGTCTTGACTGCAGCATCCTTTCTCCCTCATGCTCTGTGGAAAGCTGTTTGCCCTTCACATCAGTGATGGGAACATGGTTGTGCAATGACACCTGAACTCAGCTATGAGCAATTCTATCTCTTGTCCTGCACAGGAAAAGTTAACTGGACTTTGAATATGTATTTTTAAGTGGGTACTCCTCTGCAGCGTGGCTGGTGGGTTACTTCTAGCAGAGCAGACATGTCTGCCCCATCACAGCAGCACAGGTGCTTCTCAGAGGGGGCCCAGGGAAGCTCCAAAGGATTAACATGGTCTTCCACTGTGGATTGACTGGAAGGAGGGGGATTATTTGGGGGCTTTAACTTCTCACTCCTCCTTTAGCAGCAGCCTGTCCTTTAACATGTGGTACCCAGACACTGCCTCCCCATCCTTGCCTCTCAGCCTGGGTATTCCTGAGCTGTTGGAGGGCTTCTACAAAAAGCTATTGTAACAGTTGGGAAGGGAAAGAAAAGGGAGACAGTAAGGCATTCCCAATGTTAGCCAGCACCTGGACAGCTTGTGTCCATGTGTAAGCTCCCAGAAGGCCTCCTGGGATGAGACATCATTTCCCACATGACATCCAAGTATGACAAGAGAAGCATCCGTGCCTGCTCACCAGCCTATTGCTCTGCACCTTTGTCACACACAGAAAGCAATTCCTGGCTTTTGAATACAGTCATCTTCTCTTTAGTGGTAGGGAAGGAAGAGGTGGATTTTAAGACCACAACATTTCTCATGTAAGTAGGGATGAGTGGGCAGAACAGTTGGTTATGTTTACTCAGCTAACTGGTAGAGCTACAGGAAAAATCAGCATGTAAAGGACAGAAGGCCAGGTCAAGCAGCCTTAGCAAGCTCTGAAACTTGTCTGTGGAATTTGAAAGGAAGAGGACATTTAGTGTAACTCTCATGTTCTTCAGGGATGTATTGGTTTGTGCTGTGTGTATATGATTCTGTGACTATATTCTGGTTACGACTGAAGGCTGAGTTGCTATTTCTTGGGAAAACACTCTCATTTCCTAGCGTATATTAATGCAAATTAATCAAACTGTATAAGAGCAGGATTTCTGTGGGATCCTTACATAGCCTTGCTACTGTAGAAAAATCAGCCTCACCTAACCACAAGCCCACTGAGAGGTCCTCAGCTTCTGTTGCTTAGGCAAATCCAATGTTGCCCATGGTGCTCCCTTTGCCACAAGGCACAGTTGCACCCTGACCTCACTGCCAGGGCTGCACAGCGTGGCACGGGGCCACTGAGGTGCAGCAGGGTATGTACAGAGACCACAGGCTGAAGGCAGCTTGGATGAGCTACATCTTTAACCCACAAGCAGTATTCACGTGTTTCTCCATGCTTTTATTTTAAGCCAGCAAGAGTGATAAAAATGTAATTAAAAATGTTCTGTGAGGGACCTTGCTTATAAAAAAGGTTAATTATATTTGCTTCCTTTTCCCCTGACTGCCCTCCACTTTATTCTCTCCTCCCAAAGGCTTTGGGTAGGCAACAGTCTCGTGTACAAAACTTGGTACAACAGTACAATTTTGGCACCACAAGTAACAAAGAGGAGCATTGATCTGGAGATCCCACACCAGCCAGTACCAAATGGGTTAGCAAAAACCAGCCCACAGGCACGGGGTGATCCAGATAAGCAACGTGTTGCGGCTGAGACCTAATGAGTAAATGCGTTTTCACATTCATACATGATTGCATCATCCCTGTGTGTCGATACAATGCGTGGTGGGAAATGCTTGGTCATTCGAGACAGGGTACGGTACAGCAAATCACATCCTGCTTCATTGTGTTGGATCAGATGTTTCCTTCATCCACGGAGCCACTTTTATCTATACACAATGTTCAGCAGCAGCTAAAGTGTATCCATGAAAAGGAAAGTGTTAATCAATAAAGTGCTGGGCTCAACTACACTGCCAGCACAGGTGTGAAATGACGTGGGAGTGGGGTGAAGGTCCCTGGCCGACTCCTGCGCCACTCCAAACCCCCAAATCCAGGGGTGCAGGGGACAGGACACCCTGCACCCACCCCAAAAAACCCTCCAGTAACAAGCCCGTGCAGCCCTGTCCTCTCCAGCGTCTCTGTGGTGGCTGTAACTGGTTTCTTATGTGCACTGGTGGTTTTGGGGAGTGCTGCCCCAAGGAGATCCCCCTGGGAAGAGCCGAGGAGCCGGTCTGGTCTGTACCATGCTTTGCCTTTGATAACCCCCTGACTCTTGGGTGTGCTTCGTCCTCACCGCGCTGCTCTCTCCGCTCCCCGGCTCCCGGCTGAGATGGCCACGTGCCCGGCGTGTGCACTCCGGCGTCGGCCTCGCGGGCCAAACATCGCCAGCCTCGGCACCTTCACAGCTTTTCCTCGGCCGTCTGAACTTATCTAGCCAAACACAGGCCAAAAAATGGGCATTTGAGAGACCAACCAAATTTGGCAGGTATGAAGCTTCTCTTGAACCGAGAAAAAAAAACAATTAAAAAAGATTTAAACCCGAGTTGAGAGTTGAAAGCAGCAGGGAACATGACACTTGGTTGACTTTGCCGTGAGCTCCTTCCACCACCATAAAACCATGTGGCGGACTTTGTAACTCTCTAACTGGTCTGGTTTTTTCATTGCTCTTATCTCTGTCCTTTTCTGTGTCCTTTTTTTGCATGACCTCTAACCAAAAAGCTGACTTCTCGCTGTGGTGCATTCGAATGTATGGCTCTTCTGCTGGCAGATAGCTAACCTTCTCCTAGAGGCATGAGCTAACATCAATGGTAGCTGCCTGACTTCTAGTCTGGTTGTTCTTAGATGCTCTTTGTTACTTTTTCCTTTTTATACTATTTCCTCTTCCTTTTTCACTTTTTTCCTCTCTGCAAGACACTCTGTTGAGTCATCTTCCAAGAGAACTAAAAAAAAAAAAACAAAAAACAAAAAAATTAAAAGCCCAGCAACAGGCAACACTAAACATAATAACAAAACCAGGCAAAGGTCACGGCAAGGTCATTTCCAAAATTATGTCACCTTGGTGTCTGCTTCCAACTCTAGATTAATTCAAGGATCTACCAGTCCTTGGTTAATGTATCCAACCAGTTGTGTGCCGCACACATTCAAGAAAGTGGAAAAAGAATTTTAAAAAAAAAAATAGTTAAAAAGTTTTAGAAAAATCTGCATGAGCTACACCGACACATAAATCTGATCAAAGGGCAAAAATAACTCTCCATCCATGCATGGTGCATGATGATTTCTATGAGCTGGGATCCTGTAAATTAATGCTATGCAAAATCAAAACAGCTCTGTATCGTTAAATGCCCTTAAGTTACTAACTGTGTGTCAAATGTTATAGGGATTGCATCTGTGTATGTATATGTTCAGCTGTATGTATACATAAATTTATTATGTATATTGTAGCTTTTTTTTCTTGTTGTTTTCCTCCTTAATTTAGTTGTTTTAGATTTCCCTTCATGTTGAACATCCCTGAGTCGCTGCCTTTGCCCTGATGTGATCTCTCCTTTCTGTTGCAGAACCGCATGCACGAATCTCTGAAGCTTTTTGACAGCATCTGCAACAACAAATGGTTCACAGATACATCTATCATCCTCTTTCTAAACAAGAAGGACATATTTGAGGAGAAAATTAAGAAATCTCCACTGGCTATCTGCTTTCCTGAGTATACAGGTAATGAGAAAGGTAGCTCTACAGGAGTGCATAGCAAAGGGACCGCAGAGCACCTCCCAGCCAGGCTGGTGCTGTTGTGCATCACAGGCAACAAGGCTAAAGATGCAGAGCTAGAGCTCCCATTTGCTTCACTGCAGGTTTTATTTCAGTAAGTGCCATCAGATCACCCACGCCGTGTTTAGTGGTCCACTTAGAGTGTGAGAGTGACTTAAAGCAAATTCTTCGCTGGCAAAGGGCCACCACCACTGAGCAGGGTGTTTGAACTCTGCCTCATGGGTGGGTGTGATGCCATGCCAGCACCTGCAGATGTGGGGCTGCAGTGCACCCCCAAACCTGTGTGCCCTGGAGCATGAACCCTCTTGGAGGTCTCTCAGAAAACTTCAGTGAGCTTAACCATTACAAATGGGTGACTGGTCTCTGGGAGACCAATGCATAGGGATTTTTAGCCTGTCCTCAGCTAGAGTCCAGCTTTGCTCTTTCACAGACCCCCATGTTCCCCTGTAGGTCCTGGCTGGCCACAACAAGAATCCCTCTGCAGTTCCTGGCCACTGCCCCACTGCCAGGCACCACAGGGCTGCAGGATCATCGTGATCCTGGCAACATTCATGGCCAGGCTGGATGGGGCTCTGAGCCACCTGATCTGATGGAAGATGTCCCTGCTAACCACAGCAGGGTTAGACAGGATGGTCTTTGAAGGTCCCTTCCAACCCAAACCGTTCTATGATTCCATTATCAGCCCTCCAGTGTGCAGACTGCAGGTCTCACAGCTTGGCAGCTTCAGCTTAAGCTATACATTTTCACCTTGTTAGTTGAGGAGATCCCCAGTTTCATGCTCAGGTTCACTGACATCAAGCGTCTGGACATGGAAACACTTCCAGTTAAATGCAGGTAGAAAACCATGTGTTTGATTTGCTGGTCTTCTGGCCAGCCACACCTCTTACCCCACAGTGCAGGCTGAGGAGAGTCACAGTGAGCCATGCCCCAGCTTGGTTGGGGAAGAGGCCTGAGCAATGTGTGGAGGTGAGAGCAGAGACTCTGCAACAGGGCAGGGTGCAAGAAGCCCACACTTCTGCTGGCTGCCTGGCATCTGACCCACTAATGGTGGGAATACATCACCCATGCAAAGGCTGCAGCTGCACCCTGCTGCTTCCCTCTGCATCTCGCCAGCTTCCACAAACCCTCATTACCATTCTGAGATGGCATAAAAATAAACTTTTATCGTCATGAATTATTTAAGCTCACCAGAGACATCCAGATGAATCAAGCCAACAGACAGAGAAGCAGATCTCTTTGTCAGGAAACATGGTTGTGAACCAGGAGCACCAAGAGTGTCACATTTCTGGGCAGGCCAACAAATTATTAACCAGAGCTTCCTATCTCTGAGCACTTGATTTTTCACTGTGAATAGAGAAAAGTGATCCCTCATTGCTGCTTTGGGCTGAATGGTCTGTGGCCGTGGAGCTGAATGACTCCAGCTGAATTCAGAAGAACATCTGCAAGCTTCCTCTCTGGGGAAGGTTTGGGTGTTTGTCACTTCCTACACATTCCAGCCATCTACTCATCTGCTTGGTCCAGACAGAACCAACATATTCCTGACACGTTTGTCTAAAAAGATCTAATCATGGAAATTTCAGTCTTTACAGTTGAAAGCTTACAATAATGTCTACCCCAAATTCTCCTGGTTGCAAATTCGATTGCTGCTTTTGGGTGACTTGCAGAGCAGCTCATCACTGTCTTCTCTATAGCTGCACTTCTGTATACTGGATGGTTTCTATCATGCCCTCTTCCTTTTCCCTTTTCTTAGTGAAGCAAACCTGCACCTCTCACTTCTTGACTGCATTTTTTGCACCTGGTTTTGTGGATCTTCACTGAAGTCTCCCAGAAACCCCACTCTGAAATAATACTCTTACTGACCTGCTGGCATAGAGACTAGAACAACAAAGGATGTCATTTTAGATATAACCCTTCCTCCCCAAGCTATTCCAGCCTGAGAGAGCAATAACCCTGGGACAGGCGTAGCTAAGCTCTTGTGTGACTAAACAGAGGAAAACAAATATAGCTTCTTTCTGGAGCACTTCAGCCCTAAGCAAACTAAACCCGTCTTCCCCAGCTCTCAGAGGACCCTGAAGATGCTCTAAATTCCTTTGAGGTGCTGTTCTGGAAGCTGGGAGTCGTTACAATGCCAGGGACCCTCCACTGACCTCCTGTCTCTCTTGTGCTGTCAGAGAAGGCA